TTTTAATGTGCAGATCGCAGCAGTAGACTGGCAATGACTATCTAACAACACACAGCCCAAACTCTATCTGGATCAAAACGAGACGCTGTTGATATATCCTGTGTTATTTTCTTAATTTATTTTCCAGAGGCTCTTCCAAAATGCATGATACTATAGACTGGTATGTAAAAGAATCCGCTTTTTTGGAGATCAAGACATCTGCCTGCATTCCACATACTTGAAAACTAAACATCTTGATGCTGCAGCCCTGCGCAATACCTGCTTTGTTTGTTTGGGTTTTGTTCTGTTACATCTTTTGGAAACAACAAAATAGTGTCTATTTTACTCTGAATGTCTTTAAAAAGCAACAACAATAGTTTGTCTGTGTTATTTTTAAAAAAGCAGAATTCCTGATTATATGTCATGCACAAGTTCCCTGGAGTATTTCTGACCATATTGAGATCATCTAGCAAGTGTTTAAAACTTATTGGGAATTCCTTTCCTGCACAATCTTGTTCCTGATTAAAAAGAGGATTTTTTTAAAAAAAATGAATGAAAACTGCCTGGTTATAAAAAGCTACATGGAAATGGCTAGCATGACTGTAATTTTCCTGATTGCAAAGAAGTTCTACAAACATAGTGACTCGTTTATATGTTAACCAAAAATAAATTGTTCTCTTCAAATATTTTGACTGCTGCACTGCTATTCCCCCCCCCCCCCCGGTGAATCTCTAAACCTAAAACAGGAAAAAGCTGCAACCCAGAAGAAAAAGCTGCTTAACTCCGGTTGAAATGTTAATAAATGGTACATTACTACAGTTCTCCCAAAACAGTACGACTTCAGCATTGTTGTTGTTTAGTCGTTTAGTCGTGTCCGCCTCTTTGTGACCCCCTGGACCAGAGCACACCAGGCACTCCTGTCTTCCACTGCCTCCCACAGTTTGGTCAAACTCATGCTGGTAGCTTCGAGAACACTGTCCCACCATCTCATCCTCTGTCGTCCCCTTCTCCTTGTGCCCTCCATCTTTCCCAACATCAGGGTCTTTTCCAGGGAGTCTTCTCTTCTCATGAGGTGGCCAAAGTCTTGGAGCCTCAGCTTCAGGATCTGTCCTTCCAGTGAGCACTCAGGGCTGATTTCCTTAAGAATGGATAGGTTTGATCTTCTTGCAGTCCATGGGACTCTCAAGAGTCTCCTCCAGCACCATAATTCAAAAGAATCAATTCTTCAGCGATCATCCTTCTTTATGGTCCAGCATACTGATGGCCAATTGTATGTCTGAATGTTCCTTCTCAGGGCTGATCCACAAGACTTTGCAAATGACGTTGCCTGTCCATCTCAAGGTTAAAGGCTAGCAGCTGCTCAGTAGAAAGGTCCTGCACAGATAGAAATAACTGCAGGTATGAATGTTCATATGATTCTGGGGGCGGTAGATTGTATGGCCCCCCTGTAAGATACTTCTCCATTTCTGTAACACTCCGGGATGAGAAAACCAGAAAGTACTAGGTTGTTTTTAAAAATGAGGGGGAAGTCTGATAAGCCATTTAAATCCCAGTTAATTGTTTTTTAAAAAGCATGCCTGTCCCACTTTATAGTGATAAGCCAGACTTTGATATAATGGGGCAAAAAACAGCAGCAGGTGCTGCTCCTTCAAGTCTTAAGAAATTTCTACTCATATTAAACTTGGTGCTACTTAGAGAAATCCAATGGACTTGCAGACCAAGGAAATGCCAAGAAACGGATTCCAATCTAGAAATCTTAAATCAAGCAGTAAGACAATTCATTCAACATCTGCAATATAATCAATTGCAATGTGTTTAATAAAATTGACTCATGACTTAGCCAACATCTTTAAACAAGTGGCAGCTGTATTCATAATCATGAGATTATTATTAAAAAGGAAGCTACACCACCATTCTACTTGCTGGGGGTCAGAACAGCTCTTTGCTTTATGTGACCTCAACAAAAGCATAACACAACACAGTTTGGCTTCTCATTTAAAGATGCAGCATAGTACAACTGATGTGAAGAGCTCCTTTTTGCTTCAGATCCCCACTTCCACCTCTGCTGTGGTGCCCAGAATCTAAAACTCTCTCAGGGGGCTTGCCTATTCCTTTCCCTACTCAGTTTTTGTTGAAAAGTGTCTAATTTCAGTGGCCCTGTTTGGCTCTGTAGCTGATCAGTGCTGCTTAAAATTTTAAATTATCTTTAGTATTGGTATTTAAAATGTTGCCCTTTATTACATTTTTGTACTGTTAGACATCACTTTTTGAGTTCTTTGGGTTGAAAAGTGAGAAATACTTTTTAATAGAAATAAAAAGAAATCATGTTTCCCATGTGAGTTATTTTTATAAAATTTATTTGATTAATTTATTTAAGATACTTATAGACAGCTTAGTATTTTTAAGAAAAGAAATCAAAGTAGTATCCACAAAAATTCAAGGCACACAATAATAACCCAACAACATTAAAAACAGTGTGCAATAAAATTCATCTTTGCAATGGGGGCGAGGCGGGGGGACGGCAGAGGTATGAACAACAACTATTCTGAAAATGCTTAGGTGTAAAGAATACTGTGAAGAGAAATCCAGTTGATTAAGTATCAACTTTAAGTAACAAAGAGATCATTTCATTTCAAATAACAATCCCTATAAATGTCTGTTTAGATGACCTGGCAGACCCGTGTCTCCGTGTCTCACTGAACAGCTGTGGCCTTGCAGACATGGGCTGCCGCTTGCCGAGGACAGATTTTTCACCAGAGAGCCTTTGCATCCAGGCTCTTCTGATCTGAAAAAGGAGCAATGATGGGGAACATTAACTGGCAGAAGACAGGAAGAAAATGAGGTTGTAATTATTATCGGGGGAAAGAGCCTTTAACATAAAGACTAGAAACTGATGTGAACCACAACAAAAGGAAGCCACTACAGAAAGTTAAAAGGTTTGCATGTGAAATTTTAAATAGGAACGTCTGAAAGTTCAGTTTAAGGAGCCAGTCTTCCTCCCAGCGTGATCCTTAAATATCACCTTTCGCAGTGTTAAAAGGTTTACATTTTGCAGTCCTTTGAACATATGCATAATCACTAATTTAGCACCACCATGTGAATAAACCTCTAACAAAACACTTGTAAAACCAACCTGCTGTAAGTGCTCAAAAGCCGCAGCTTAAATCCCTGTGAAAGTTACAAAGCGAGAAAGTTGGCTTTCCTGCAGACCACAGGCAACTTCAGCACTGCATTCCCTTGTCCCACGAATTGCAGCCCACCGTCTCCCAACATTTCCATTCTGATGTCGCGCTGACCTATTTGCAAACTTTCATCACACCTGTCCTTCTCACCCTCCTCATAGGATACCAGCAAGAGAGACACCTCTGTCTCTGCGCAGTCTAACATCCTTCTGCCTCCCCCACACCACCACCCCAACATGTTCTGAAGAGTCCTCCAATTCTCTGGAGCAAAGTGAGGTGGGGTATCACTGAAGGCTGCAGTGGGAAGGGGAGGTGGTAAAAAAAGAAAAGGCACTTCTCTTCTTCCATTAAGGGATGGATTAAAAAAGAAACTTCTGTGATTGTAAGGACACCAAATGGATCCCACAATTTTTTAAAAAAATAGAAAATCTTCCATTTGGCACAAGTAACAAGGCAACAGTGCTAGATCCTAAAGAGCAGGCAAACTTCCATGGGATGAGAAGGTTCACCAAGTGACTCAGTCCTAAGCCATTTAGGGTTTAAAGGTAAACCATCAGCACTTGAAAGCAAACCAGCAACCTGTGCAACTGATTCAATAAAGGGGGCATATGATTCCAGCACTTGACCCAGCAGAACTTTCATGGATTTAAGTTTCCACGTGCTTTTCAGGGGGAAACCCACACAGAATGTGACAGAGACATGCAGCATGTAACAAAAGCATGACGTCCCATGGCCTCACCTGACCTTCTCAGCAATGGGCCCAGCTTCCTCTTTTTTAAAGTTACTGCTTTATTAAGCAAGTTGTCCATAAACTTTTCACATTTGAAACCAAGTCTACTCACAGCCTTTGTTGTATAGAACTGTCCCATCGTGTGGCACGGACTTTTTAAAGAACAGATTACTTTGCCGCAATACGTGGAGAATTTGCAGATATGTGGAGAATCTGCAGACAACAGCCTCACTTCTACAGTTAACAAATATTACTGGTTATAGAATAGTTAATCTTACTGGCTTCAGTGGGATAGTGTTCACCAATCACTGTCTTGACAGTATTCAGTAACTTCTGAACACACAAAAAAGGAAATATTTCAGTCAATGCCTTCTTATCAATGGCATTGTAACTTTTTGAAACCAGAGGAATAACAGAGAAAAGACCAATAAAAACAATAGCTTAAGGTCAAAATTGGATGATTTTAGCATCTGAATAACATGCACCTCAAGAAAAGAGATATCAGTTTTTATGTACCTAAACATACCTGTTGCAATTTTATATAAAACTACAAAGATTTGACTGTGCCTCTGCTTCCATTACTTCAGATGGTGATAACTTAACATACAGTGATTCTACTTTTTCTGCTACAAAAACCTGAAAACATTTAGATAACCCAGGCTGAGCCTTTGGAATAAGGTTGACCACAAATATAATGAATAGCATGTATCGTGTTGAGCACTGCTGACCAGAAGGGTCCAGTACCCAGCCCACAGCAAGCCCAACAAATTGTATTATTAGATATAGAACGACAAATTGTACACTCACAGAGAACATGCCATTCCAGAGCAAACTCCCTATGCCCTGAAAGTTCATCGAACTGTAGTCAGGATATGGCTCAGGATCTAATAGACCAACTGTGTGACACAATACAAAACAGAGTCAAGATTTCCTAGGATTCGGCTTTTAAAATGTCTATAGTAAGTTATCTCTTTGCTATACTGTGCCACTACTTTTGTTATCATCATAATTATTTGTACGGTAGCATCAACTGAGGTTGGATAAATGGAAGAGGAGCAAACGTGAATAAATTTAAACAAGCATTCAAAGGTTTATCGAAGAGAACTGACCTGAGGATCCGAGAACACTTGCTGCATGCTATTGATTGGACCATATGGAACACCACTACCTTCAAAGAGTTCTAGCCATTTGGTGGTCTCTTTTTCCAAAAACCTAGGAATAAGGAAACATGCGGTTTGAACTATCCATTTCAGCCAGCATTTTTTTATATATATATAAGCTAGTTTCTCTCAAAGTAGTAAATAATGCAGTAAAAATGTTCTGCACATGTTCCTCAGAAATACAGAGACTAAGCCCTGGGGCAAAAATCATGGTTGGACTGTCTTACAATTGTATCTGATTTTCTGATGCAATCCAGCAGTGATGCAAACCAAAATTATCAGCAGTTTCAATAAAACCCAGTACATTTCCTCCCATTCTTAATTACTGTAATGAGCTTCACATTTTTTTTATTTCACGTCTATTTTTCACAACAAAAAGATAGATGTGATGTGGTTAAGAGACATATGCATGAGAAAAGGTCTATTTTTAAACACAAAGATCCAATTCAAAGCCTTGCAAAGTTTTCTCCTCCTTTACATCTGAAACACATGTCCCAATTAAAAACCGCAATTGTTAGTCAGATAACAACATTGATTACATATTTATGTGTTGTATGATTGTAATATTTGTCCCAAGGTCATCCGGTTTTGCATATGATATACTATACTTATCCTGAACAACCCAAATTTCCTTGGTTTACTTGCTTGGCTCCTTGGGGTCATTTACAGAATCTTACTTCGTTATCGTGTTCCTATCATTAGAGACATTTCCTGCTTCTTCCTCCCTATGTGGAGTTGTTTAGATGAAGTTCACAGACAGTTCTGAACAAAAGCAAACATTTAAACAACCTTTTACATTGCCCTTTTTGAGGCAGTCTGAATCAAAGCGCTTGGAAATGTACCCTTGCCAAATATGTGTCTGTTATTTTATCATTGTGCAACGAAACAGGCAGCCACACACACAAGGTCTGTAAACGCTGTGACAAATATTGCCAAAGAACTTTTCCACAATCAGCATTCTCTAGGCTGCACTTTGGATTTGAGAGAATATATCTTTGAAGAATAGGGAACATCCAGGCATGCGCTGTCAAAAATAATGAACGTGATATGCAAAAAGCTGAAGCACTCTAAGATGCTTCATCAGAAAAGACAGCGGGCTCCCCTTATGCTCTTATGTATAAACTACAAAAACTGGGGCTGCTGAAGAGGCCATAGACCTGGAAGACCCGCTCCCTCCCTTGCAGGTCTTTCCCACCTGGCCTGGGAGTGGACAGCCCTGACTGACTCCAGCTACAAAAGCCAAGGCTGCTGAACAGACTCCTGGGCTGGTTGTTTCGGGTTTTATTGGGGTGGGGGAGGGGAAGCGTAACAAAAAATAATATCAGTAACAGTATATTTATTTTAGATTTTGCTATGACTTATGTGAGAACATTGTTCAGTTTGCTTGTGTACTTTTGCATGCTTTATTTATTGTTTATGACTACTTTTGTTATGTCTGTAATTGTGTATTTTTATAAAAAGCTGCCTTGAGCATGGTTTTAACTATGCGTGTATGTAAAACCAGAGGGACGCGGGTGGCGCTGTGGGTAAAACCTCAGTGCCTAGGACTTACTGATCGTAAGGTCGGCGGTTCGACTCTCCGTGGTGGGGTGAGCTCCCGCCGTTCGGTCCCAGCTCCTGCCCACCTAGCAGTTCGAAAGCACCCCTAAGTGCAAGTAGATAAATAGGGACCGCTTTATAGCGGGAAGGTAAACGCCGTTTCCGTGTGTGGCGCTGGTGCTGGCTTGCCATCTGCAGCTTCGTCACACTGGCCACGTGACCCGGAAGTGTCTTCGGACGGCGCCGGCTCCCGGCCTCTTGAGCGAGATGAGCGCGCAACCCTAGAGTCGGACACGACTGGCCCGTACGGGCAGGGGTACCTTTACCTTTATATGTAAAACCATGCTCAAGGCAGTTTTTTTTAAAAAAAATACACAATTACTATGTGTATGTGTATGTAAAGGGACGCAAGTGGCACTGTGGGTTAAACCACAGAGCCTAGGACTTGCCGATCGGAAGGTCGGCGGTTCAAATCCCCGTGACAGGGTGAGCTCCCGTTGCTCAGTTCCTGCTCCTGCCAACCTAGCAGTTCGAAAGCACGTCAAAGTGCAAGTAGATAAATAGGTACCGCTCCGGCAGGGAGGTAAACAGCATTTCCGTGAGCTGCTCTGATTTTGCCAGAAGTGGCTTAGTCATGCGCTGGCCACATGACCCTGAAAAACTGTCTGTGGAAGCGGACAAATGCTGGCTCCCTCGGCCTGTAAAGCGAGATGAGCGCCGCAACCCCAGAGTCATTCACGACTGGACTTAATTGTCAGGGGTCCTTTACCTTTACCTTTATGTGTATGTAAACTAGAAGCTGCTTCCCCTGTTTACTTCACAACGTGCCAAGCCCCCTCTCTTTACACTTGGCCACCCCCTCCCGTTAAACCTTGCCAACCCCCATACAATTCACCCAAACCATGCCACCTCTCCATATTTCATTGCCCAAACTGTGCCCCTGCCCTTAGACCTCACCCTGCCCTCAGCTCATACTGCTTGCCTCACGCTGCTGTTGTCATTTTGGCCTCAGCAAGGCTGTGGAGGTGGGGGGTATCCTGAGCACCCCAATGTGTGGAGGCAGTAGCAAGAAGTGGAGGGAAAAGGAGCGAACAAAAGCAGAACTAATGACCTGGCATGACTTCCAGTGTTTCTCAAACTTGGGTCCCCAGCTGGCAGGACCAGGATGATGGGAATTGTAGTCCAACACAGCTGGGGACTTAAGTTTGAGAAACACTGATGGGATGAGAGAAAGAGTCAGAAAAATGGCACGTGGGTATGTGAAAGTAAGACAAGAGGAAGTGACAGAGAGGAGATGTGGCTGGGTAGGAGTCTCAGAAGGAATATGGGCGTGGCAGTGAGGCAGAGATTCAAAACTGTGGAGCCGGCAGAGAGGCAAGTAACAGCTGAACTGAAACAGTGAGAACTTCAAAGAGACAAGGAGGATTTTCAGGAAGCTGAATGAATACCGAGGGGAAAGTGAAAGCAGAAGGGAAACCCAAAGGCAAAAACTGGTCCAGCGAAAGGTCAGCTGTCCAGTACCAACTCAACAGGGAAGAACAGACGAGGGCAGGAGGAATTGAAGACTTCCTGTAGCTAGCTACCACATGGTGGGTCAAATCATAGGACTGCACAGAAACTTTGCACATTTTGGGGGGTGTCTGTCTCAGGAAACAATGGAGTACACCTCCGGGAGGGAGTCAAACTGCCGGAGAATCACAGCACCTATAGTGAATTCTCCAGGGTGAAAGACTGGGCAGTCCTGTGTTGCCCAGAAGACAAGACTGCCTCTCAGCATCGCTGATGTGGTCCAAAGGAAAGCAGAGCAAGACGTTTGGCACCAGCTTGGCTGCAGGAGTTGGCGGAAGGAAGCATACAAGACGCCTTAGGGGCTCCATTCCAAATTTGTGTAGGGTTACTCCTTAGCCTTTTCTTCTCCGGAAAATGTTTTGCAAGGCTGGATGGCAGGTTGAGAGGAGTTCCCTGCCAGGACAGACTTTGCTCGTGTGCTCAAGACATCGATTCCATAAAACATATTTTGTTGCACTGTGCAAAATATGAGCAGGCAAGGGCTGAACTGATACTACCCTTGCTGGTACCTTTCCTGGGAAAATCAGAGGCTCACTATGTCAGGTTCCTATTGGAAGACCGGACAAATGCTAGAACATTAGCAGTGGCAAAGTTTTTATCGGTGGTTGCAAGAACCAATGATCCCTATATTCTGAGTGAAATGCTTGTTCAACCTGGAGGTAGGCTGTATGAATTGTGTATTGCTTTGTAACGATTTGTTGGGTCTCTGGACCATAATAAAGATTGTTGTTGTTTTGCAAGGCTGATTTTTCCTCAGGGCTTACTCCTGAAGCCTTTCTCACGAATGAGTATAGCTGCAAGGCAGCGGGAGGTTCAAGATCACATGGGTTTCCCATATTAAGAATGCCCTCATGTGCAAGCAGGGTGGGCGTCTTGAGAGCACCTGGGATTCAGCAGGAGAGGGGGGCTTCACAGTCTGTTTGATTATGTATTTAGCAGCTCATGAAACTCAAAGCAGCCTATGTGGGATTCCTAGGCATCCTTCCACACATGCCCTGCCCAGACCTGCTTAACTTTAGCAAGGTAGATGTATCATGTGCAGTCAGGTTGTGCTGAACCTCACATCTAATCCGACTTCTAGTTTCTGATAATTCGTAAGGCAGATAATTAATCACTTCTTCAGTGCATTAAATTTGACTGTGGCCAGTGTGATTGCTGACACTACTGCAGATAAACTTTATCTTGCCATGCCATTCCTGGCAATTCAACATATTTTTCCACAAGAAACTCTGCCAGATGCATACCCATAAAGGATATTTAGCATTAATCTACTCTGCTGCTGCTTTCTTCTTGTGACGGATGACTTGTTCTCCACAATTATTCTGTTTTAGATACTGTTGCAAAGACTCCAAGGAATAAGGGGGTTTTTGTTTTTGTTTTTGCTAGTACCAAGAAACAGTAACAAGTCCCACATAACCTGTCTTTCAAAATTTACCATATAAAATGTGATCACTCCACAAATGATGTCTATTAGCTAATACAAGCCAAATTACAAGGAACAGGAATGGAAACATATGACTCCAAGATCCCGGACCAAGATTTATATTACAATTGGTCTTTCTTTATTGGGTGCCAGATTCATTCAAACTAACATGACACTTAATAAATTATGTTCTTCCATTAGCATATGAAGTACAGAATAGGTCTGTACAGGCAGCATCTGACGTCCTCCAGGGATTTTGTGGAACCTCTGCTAACATAGCATAATATATTTGGCAAATAAGCTGAAGAACTGAACTTGAGACAGCAACAGGGACGACCAAGTAACAGCCAACTATGGGTATAAAAATGAAAAATGGAATATTGTCTTTCAGTAAATCCCACGTCAGGACTTGGATGAAGAATTGGATGAACCTGCACCCGCCCCCTCCCATAGAGTGGTGTTTGAAATAAAACTGGAGAGGGCACGTATATGGGGGAGATGAGCCTGTCTTCCATGCAGGAGATGACTCAGGGGCCTTTGAGAACATTTTAAGAGGTTCTAGGAAAATAAAGAACGTTTCCAAAGGAAAATGACTTCTCCCACTGATGACCACATGCACAATATGGTGTTGCACAGAAGATGCCTGGCGGACCATTTATAGCTAGTTGTAAGAGTTGCATTTAATAAAAGTACCATTTGAAATATGTGTTTTGAGGGTCCTTGTTTTTTAAAGGCACATATTAATGTGAAAACTGAATGTTATTATGAGGGACCAGAAACAGACAAATTTGTCCTTACCTAGTTAAAGACAAATGAAGACAATCCTGCCTAAGACAAAATTTCTTGAGCGACATCCATTTGGTGGAAGACTTGAAATCTTATGCTTTTATAAACTTACATAACACCCCATAGTTAATATTAGCCTACATGAGCTATACATAATAAAATAGCCATGACTGCAAACAAGTTTGCAAAAATAAACACTTGAAGCTTAAATTTATAAATCGTACCTGGCTGTTAAAATTTCCGTAAGTTCCTTCCTATTCAGCACTCGCTGCTGGTTATTTTTGTATCTGGAATCTTGGCTGATTTCAGGCAGATTCAGGATCTGAAATGCATTCAGTAACATAATCATCACAGAAAGTTGTGCAAATTGGTCTTCAGTGAGAGAGATGCAGTCATACACTAAATATCAAAGAATATAATCAATAAAACTGGGCTCTCTACATAAAGCATTTAACATTTACTGTATGTGTAAAATCCAAAAGCACATTTAGTCAATTAATTAAAAATAAGGTAAAGGTAAAGGTACCCCTGCCTGTACGGGCCAGTCTTGACAGACTCTAGGGTTGTGCGCCCATCTCACTTAAGAGGCCAGGGGCCAGCGCTGTCTGGAGACACTTCCGGGTCACGTGGCCAGCGTGACAAAGCTGCATCTGGCGAGCCAGCGCAGCACACGGAAACGCCGTTTACCTTCCCGCTTGTAAGCGGTCCCTATTTATCTACTTGCACCCGGGGGTGCTTTCGAACTGCTAGGTTGGCAGGCGCTGGGACCGAACAACGGGAGCGCACCCCGCCGCCGGGATTCGAACTGCCGACCTTTCGATCGGCAAGCCCTAGGCACTGAGGCTTTTAATTTTTAATTAATTGGAGTAAAATATGTCCATCATGCCTTTTATTAATTAACTGAAATTCTTCTATCTCCATTTTCCACTAATTCAACAACACAAGCAGCTCACATCCGAAACCTAGTGTGCAAGTACACATAGTCAAAACATATTAAAACAATAATAATATCTCAGATGTGTCTCCTAGCTATTTATTTAAAGACTCTTATTCTAGTGATTGCCAAAAAAAAGCCCAACAACTTTTTCTGGACTTTTATCTCTGGAAATATGGCAACCCTAAGTTATATAACAGAATATGTCACTGCTGCTTCTTATGTAAGAATCAATATTCCACGTTAGCTCATTTAGAAACCAGTCATCGGTGAAACATTTTACTAGAATCATACACCTGCAACATATTTATTTGTATTGTTCTAAAACTGACTTTTTCCTTTTGTACTGTTATTATCGTATTATTGTCAATGGTCTTGTGACTTATGTTAAAGGTGATTCGCGAAATCACCAACATTATCGCCTTGAGCTTCCCACCTTGTGAATTGCTCTTTAATTACTATTACCTTGCAGACAGTGGCAAACTGTTGATCATTTCCTGCTCCCACCACAATGTAGCCATCCTTTGTTTTGAAAGCCTAGAAACAGTATGGGAAGATCAGAATGTAATTGAAACATGCATTATGGTACTATGTGAATAATATTTCTGCCTCCACCATCAGTTGTTTTTAAAGGTCACTGTCTTTCAGAACTAGTCTGAGTCCACACGCACCATCTGTGCCTCCTCCTGCTGGACTCTCCCCTCCGCTTCCAGACCAACTTTATGTTCACTCCCTTTGTTTTAGTAAGTTGATATTGTAAACTGCTTTAGGTGCCTTGGCAGAGAGGTGGCATATAAGTTCAACGAATGAAATATAAGCTAACGCTTTAAAAATTGTTAAATAGTCCACGTTCTCAATAGAAATTAATATTTTCTACCCAACAACTAAAGCGTTTCAACTTTAGCTGAATTTACGCATCACAGCAAGCACACACATTCAGCCATTTAAGGCACATAAAGACGGGGCTTCTGTACTTTATTTATGATGCTCTCAAAGGTCCCTTTAAAGTAAATGCATGTATAACCATGTGCTTATCAGCAATTATCACTTTGCAAATGCCGGTCAGACCACACAGCAGCATCTAACTTGTGTTCATACTCTTGAGCTGCGAATACTGAAGTTACTATACATGTAAAGGCCCAGCCACTAATGCTTTTGCTTCACTGACTTTGGGGCATGTGTGGGAAAAATGAGTAAATCCTAAAATGTAATTAGGAAAATGCAATCCCCATGTCATCTTCAGACAGAAGTAGTATGTATTAGAATAAATACAGCAGTGTCTCTCTGCATGAAATTTATTTTCTTCTTCAGCAGAGCAGATATTCACAAAAACGGCTGATTATTTGTCAGTCATTGTTGCTGATAAAGCAGAAACTTCCCAACATTATTAGCACAGCAAGGCCAACATTTAAGAGTGCTAACAACAGTTTCATTCATGGTCTATGGATGTATGCACACACAACCCGCAGGTTACCACAAGTTACTGTCTGGTCACAGAAAGCTCCACTATCTTATTATACAAAGGAGACAGAAAGCAAAGGGCAGACAGATTTTAATGAGATTTGGTTTTGATAAACTGCTGCACATAGCCGTGAATCTTGCTAAATTAGTGCAATAAAATTTACTTCATACAAGGCAAAAGTCTTTTTCTGTGTGTGTCTTTTGTTTGTAAAGAACAGAGGCTTGTGACAGGGCATCTTGGAACATGACAAAAATTGCATGCAAAAAAATACACAACGTTGGTGTCCTGAACTTCATGGTGTAAGAGTAACTGAAGACAATAAGCCACAGACATGGAAATCATTTCAGAGCTTGTTAGAGGAAATCAGTGGAGATGAATGATATGATATTCCAAAGCAATGTTTGGTGAAAGAAACTACAGGTTTAGGGTAAATATACAAAGATCATCTAGTTATCAAGGGAAAGGAACAGCCCAAATGGCCTAAAGCAGTGTTTCCCAACCGGTGTTCCGCGGCACACTAGTGTGCCACCAGACGTTGCCTGGTGTGCCGCGAGATGTTGCCTGGAGGGAGTCGGGCGGCAAGAGGCGGGGCGGCGGGCAGCTCGTAGAGGAAGCGCGACGCCCCGGGAGCAGCCATGGCCCCCCGGCCCCGACTGCCACTCTCCGCGCCCTCCGCGCCCCGGGCCAGGCCATAGGAGAGCCGGGCGCCGACGACGGAGGAGGCCGGCCGCGGGAAAGGGGCCACTTCCCCTTTAAATGCCGCTCCGGGCGGGGGAGGGAAGCGGCCCTCCGCCGTGCCGCTCTGCGCCTGCGCCACAGGCCCCGGGGAAGAGCGCTTCGCAGGACTCGCGGGCCAGGCGGAGCCACCTCGAGCGCCACCCAAGCGGGCGTCTCTATAGCGACGGACCCGCCCTTTCCGCTGCCCTCCCGCGCTGCTCTGGCTCCGCCTAGCGGCCCGAGGAGGAGCCGCGCAGCCTGTCGCTGCCGCCCCCGCGGAGCCTGAGGCGAAACGCGCAGGGGCCACCGCCGCGCCGAAGCCTCCCTTCCGGGGTCCCCTCGGGGCCATTGGGCGGGGCTGTCGCCTCCTGGACGCCGCAGCCCCGAGCTCGTGGATGTAAACCGAGAGATGGACTTGCTTGGGAGGAAGTTCCGTTGTACCAGTGGGAGTTATTTCCTAGTAAATATGAAACACTTGGGGATATTAGGTTGAGACTGAGGGGAGCGTGGCTGGTAGCCCGAAACATCCGGAGGGCGCAGGGCTGGCGAAGGCTGGGGGAGCACGAGACTTCGACAGTCTTTTCAGTATGTTACAACATAAAACTGCTGGAGCAAGTTAACATATTTTGTTACCTTGTGCATTAAAAGGACCGTATGTAAGAATATAAGTGGGTTTGCTTCGTTCCAGAGGATTCACACCTCAGAGTGCAATGGCAGGCAGATCTTAGAGCCAGCTTCTGTCTATGTATCTGAAACCTGTTCTGCCCCCTCCCCCACACTTGGTGCCATTTTCATCTACACATGCAGCAGAGTAAGTTGACCCAGAATAGTACCAATTCAGATGGCAGATGGGAGAATGACAGTGCTGAATGCTTTCCCATGTAGAACAGTCCCTGCAAATAAAAACCTAGCATATTTGGAAGAGGGATGCTAGCCTAACCATTACCTTCTATGCTGTTACTATTTTTTTTTTTTTTTTACATAAGTAAAAAGTGACCTTTCCCCATCTGGCATGGTGGTGTGCCTCGAGATTTTTTTCATGAAACAAGTGTGCCTTTGCCCAAAAAAGGTTGGGAAACACTGGCCTAAAGCAGAGGTTCGCAAATTGTGACCTGTGGTTCAAAGTAAAAACACAATGAGGACTCTTGCAGCGAGTAGCACAGCACACTACAATTGCTACAATGAGCAGGAAAATGATGAGGTGGTTCACCAAGACTCTCAGCAATGTTCAAGTGGTCTGTGAGGGGGGCATGTTTGGGAAAACTCAGTGAGAGTGGTGAGGAAAACTCAGAAGAGTCCCAAGTGTTGGTGGGGGCAGGGATGGCCTGGAAGGAGCCCTAATATAACTGTATTGTACTATTTTACATACACTATTTTGATTAAAATGTGGGACAGAAATCAAATAAATATACACACTTTTCATAGTAATTAATTATAGTTGCAGTACTATCATTATCACCAACACAAATACAGTCATAAACAATGGTCTTAAGAGTTGTGCTGTAGAACCAGTTTCTGATGGGAGTTTAGCTGGTGGACATTCCTTGAAGGTCTTTAACAGGAGAGTATTGCCACCAGAAAGACACAGCTACTGGATTATAACAGAACAGTCATGGCTAGTCAAAGACCTACAGCAAGGAACATCCTGACTCAGAATTCAGGGTTTTCCCTTAAGGAATCCAATCCAGTCCCTGGAGAGAAATATTTGGAGGAAGAGGATTGGGGCCCTGAAAACTACATTCCAACTGAAGACCTGGAGGAACCTTCAGTCTGAAGAGATCTATCTCAAAGATCCTTGCCAGGGTCCAAAGAACCACTTAGATCCTGCCTTGATCGCTGATTCTTTCCCATCACCCCAAGGCTTCAGGAGTGGAGGAGGCTGTAAACACAACGAGAAGCTCAGAGTCACCAAGGATCTGTTAGGGAGAAAGGGTCTCCCTGGGAGGATGGCAAACAATGACCCACTAAAGGACCAGATAATAGTGGAGCTGGAATTTTGGTCTCCTCTGGACCTGTGCTGATTCCGGCAACAGAGAGCACTAGCCCTGCTCACCACTAATTTTACATTCCGTGTAAAAACAAAACACAGAGAAAGAAACAATGTTATGCATTTAAAGTACCGGTACCTCACACATATTGAGTTGGATCCAGACTGAGCTAGTTGAACTTAAGTCATGATTAGGGATGGAGGATAAGTTTGGTTCAATATGCATTTGAAGTTAAATCAATCAAATTCACACTTTCTGAAGCAATATATGAACCGAAAGTCAGCTAGCCTTAAAAATCCACACATCTTAATTTTGCGAAGCAGTTCTCCAACCAATCAATGTTTACAAAGATGCATATATTAGAGGAAAGTGTGCATAATGAAAATACTAGTAAAAATAACACTCACACACAAAACAACAGGAGAAGTTGCTTCGCACAAGATTGCTTTGTGCAAATTAGTCAAAATGGCTACATTTATTGAATTCCAACTTTCTCTTCTCTCCCAAAGAGGCAGACATGGGAATGGAACCCTAATCCTTGTTATAGATCTCCTCTATTTGAGCCACAACCACCTGCCTCTTATGTCACTTAGAGCGAACATTAATAGCTATTATTGCCATTATTTGTAGAGCACCTCAAAAGCTAAGGGCTGCACAACGATTGAGGCAAGAAGAACAATCGCCGCCTGCAGGTTTACAGTATGAAATCTATCAAGTAAGAGACAAAGTTTTGCCTTTTATTTTGCCATTTACCATATCTCTGATTACAGTTTACTGGAAATAAGCCTCGTTCGATTAAAAGAAACTTACTTTTGAGTGGACATTATAGGACTGCACTGTCAAGATCCTATCTTTTCACCCCTCCATAGGTTCCACATGAACTACACTGCAATTTTGCCAAGGATAAACAAAGTCTGAACTACTCATGAGCAGCTGACACAGGTTCTGTCCTAGCATTTCCATATCAAGCAGCCTACAGTTGCTACAAGAAGGGATTCCCCCTGCTCCAGCAACTCTCACAGGATCTCATTATTAGTCAAGAATTTAGAAATTTAAGATGGTAATCCAGGCCAATGGTTACCTATGCTAAAGCTTTGCTGAAGTCCCTGGGACAAGAGCACCTGTAGCTCCAGGCTTCACTGCAAACTACTGCTTTCTTAAAAACAATAATTTAGGACTGAATGGCCCTCACTTATGTACACCCTCAGATTTGGATAGCCAGTTTAATACATTTGAGATTAGACTGCTTAAAATGGGGGGAAACAGAAATTCCATCCGGAGAAGTTTGGAATTGTGAGTCTTTAGCAAAACCTTTAAAAAGCACTTCCTCTAGACACTTCGACCAGAAGTGAGTTTTGCAAACACAGCAA